GATTTTGGTTTTCGTTGCTAGGGGCCTGGATTTTAAAAATAGGCAAGTTTTGTTATACTGTTCAGGGTATTGATGGGGCTGCGCCTTGTACAGTTATGGCCCCTGTATTTAAGAAAGGATACACTGCATTGGTGGCAGTTCAAAAGATATTCTGTAGGCTGATTCCTGGCATGAAGGGGTTGACTGAGATGGCTAAACAGGTTAGACCTTTATTCACTGAAGTTTAGAAGAATGAGGGGTGATCTTATTGAAATACATCAGATTTTGAGGGGGCTTGACAGGGTAGATTTTAAGAAAATGTTTCTACTAGTAGGGGAATCTTGAACGAGAGGATATAGTTATTGAGTAAGGGGACATTAATTCAAAGCTGAGATGCAAAGGAATATTTTTATCCCCCAGAGATAGATGGATTTTGAAACACCAAAGAGTTGAGGGCTATGAGAAGCCAGCACAAAAACGGAGTTAAGGCCTGGGATAGACGAGCCATGATCTTTTGGAATGCAGGGCAGGCTTGAGGGGCTGAATGGCCCCATTCCTGCTCCTATCTCATGTTCTTGTGATCTGTTCTTCTGAGTCAGGAGACATCCTTGATCCTCTCACAAGTAACATTCATGCCATAAAAGTGGTGATGCTTGCTGATGATCGCTCAATGTTCAGCATCATTCACAACTCCTCAGATACTGAAGCAATTTGTGCTTATGTGCACAACATCTAGGTTTGAGCTGATCAGCTGCAAAGTAACATTTGCCCTACACAAGTGCCTGTGATGACCATCTGGAAGAAGGGAATCCAACCATTGGCCCTTGACATTCAATGGCCTACTATCAAAATCCTGGCACTAGCACTGACCAGAAACTGAAGTGGATCAGCCATATAAATACTGTGACTCCATTATAAAATACTTAATAGCAGAGCACTTGGAAGATAATGATAGGATTGGACAAAGTCAGCATGGAGTTATGAAGGGGATGTCATGCTTGATAAATCTGTTAGAAACTTTTGAGGATCCAACTAGTAGAATGGATAAGGGGAGCCATGGATAAGGGGATGTGTTTTACTTGGATACTTAAAAGCCTTTTGATAAACATAGAACATAGAACAGTACAGTACAGGCCCCTCAGCCCACTATGTTGTGCCAACCTATTATCCTACTAAGATCAATCTACCCTGCATACCCTACATTTTACTATCTTCCATGTGCCTGTCCAAGAGTCGCTTAAAAGTCTCTAAAGTATCTGATTCCACTACCACTGCCAGCAGAGCATTCCACACGCCCACCACTCTCTACTTGAAGAACCTACCTCTGACGTCTCCCCTATACCTTCCTCCAATCACCTTAAAATTATGCCCCCTCATAAGAGTCATTTCCGCCCTGGGAAAAAGTCTCTGACTATCCACTCTATCTATGCCTTTCATCATCTTGTACACCTCTTTCAAGTTACCTCTCATCCTTCTTCGCTCCAACGAAAAAAGCCCCAGCTCCTTCAACCTTTCCTCATAAGACCTCCCCTCCAGTCCAGGCAGCATCCTGTTAAATCTCCCCTGCACCCTCCTCTGCATCTATGGATGTGGACCCCAAGATCCCTCTGTTCCTCCACACTGCTGAGAATCCTGCCATTAACCCTGTATTCTGCATTAAAATTCGACCTTCCAAAATGAATCACTTCACACATAAGGTCCCACATAACAGATCAGCGTGTAAAATTAAAGTGTATGGGAATAGAGGTTGTGTACTGAAGTGGATTGAGAACTAATAGCGATAAACTTCTTCTGAGTGGCAGTGACAAGTGGGGTACTGCAGGGATCAGTGCTCAGACTCCAGCTATTCACAACATGTATTAATGATTTAGATGAGGAAACTATATGTCATAGTCTCAAGTTTGCAGATGACAAATTGGGTGGAGGTTATCCTGTGAGGAGGATGCAGAAATACTTCAGTGCAATTTGGACAAGCTGAGTGAATGGGCAATTACAAGGTAGATGTAGTATAATGCAGTATAAATTGGGAAGGGGGAGGTGCAATGACACCTGGGTGTCCTTGTATATCAGTCAATGGAGTAAGCATGCAGGCGAAGCTAGCAGTAAAGAAGGGAAATGGTATACTGGCCTCACGGCAAGAGGATTCAAGTATAGGAACAGGGATGTCTTGATGCAATTATGTACAGAACATCAGTAAGACTACACATTGGAGTGTTGTGTGCAATTTTTATCTCCTTATCTGAGGAAAAATGTTCTGGCTGCAAAGGGAGTGCAGCAAAGGTTTATCAGACTGATTCCTGAGATGGCAGGACTGACATAGAACTTAGAACAGTACAGCACAGTACAGGCCTTTCGGCCCACGATGTTGTGCTAAACTTTTACCCTAAACCTAAGGTCTATCTAACCTCCACCCCTACCTTATACGATCATCCATGTGCCTATCTAATAGCCGCTTAAATGCCCCTAATGAGGCCGACTCCACTACCGTCTCCGGCAATGCATTCCACGCCCCGACCACTCTCTGAGTAAAGAACCTACCTCTGATGTCTCCCCTATATCTACCTCCACTCACTTTAGACGTAAGCGCCCTTGTAATAGCTACCTCCACCCTAGGAAAAAGTCTCTGGGTGTCCACTCTATCTATACTTCTGATCATTTTGTACACCTCTATCAAGTCACCTCTCATCCTTCGTCGTTCTAAAGAGAAAAGCCCTAGCTCTCTCAACCTTTCCTCGTAAGGCCTTCCCTCCATTCCAGACAACATCCTGATAAATCTCCTCTGCACCTTTTCCAACGCTTCCACATCTTTCCTGTAATGAGGCGACCAGAACTGGACACAATACTCCAGATGTGGCCGAACCAGGCTTTTGTATAGCTAGAGCATAACTTGAACTCAATCCCTGTATTAATGAAAGCTAACACACCATACGCCTTCTTAACAACTCTATCCACCTGGGTGGCAGCTTTCAGGGAACTGTGGACATGAACCCTGAGATCCCTCTGCTCCTCCACACTGCCAACAATCTTTCTGTTAATCCTGTATTCTGCTTTCAAGTTTGTCCTTCCAAAATGAATCACCTCGCACTTTTCATGGTTAAACTCCATCTGCCACTTCTCAGCCCAGCTCTGCATCCTATCAATGTTCCTTTGTAACCTAGAACAGCCCTCCGCACTGTCCACAACGCGACCCACCTTCGTATCGTCCGCGAACTTACTAATTCACCCTTCCACTCCTACATCCAAATCATTTACATAAATCACAATAGAAGAGGACCCAGAACAGATCCTTGTGGTACACCACTCGTAACTGAGCACCATGTTGAATATTTTCTGTCCACTACCACCCTTTGTCTCCTAAGGGTCAGCCAATTTTGAATCCAATCTGCCACATTTCCCCGTATCCCATGCCTCCTTATGTTCTGCATGAGCCTACCATGGGGAACCTTATCAAATGCCTTACTTAAATCCATGTAGACCACATCCAGTGCTCTACCTTATACAGAGGGACATACAGAGAGAGACTAGATCTGTCAGTATTATATTCACAAGAGATTAAGAGAATGAGGGGGGAATCTCATAGAAACCTATACAGTTTGAACTTATCAAGGTAAATGCAGGAAGGATATTCCCAATGACTAGGGAGTCCAGAACCAGGGGTCATAATCTAAGGATAATTGTTAGGCATTTTAGGACAGAGATGAGGAATTTTTCATTCAGACAGAGGTGAACCTGTGGAGTTCTGTGCTGTAGGAAATTGCTGAGGCAAGACACTGAAGACCTTCAAGAAAGATGCAGATAACATTCTTAGAACTAAAGGAATAACAGGTTATTGAGAGAAAATGGGAACGGGGCACTGAGTTGGATGATCAGCCACGATCATACTGAATGGCAGAACAGGCTCGAAGGGCTGAATGGCTTTCTCCTGCTCCTATATTCTATGCTTCTATGTTACAAGAGCAGGTCAAAGGCCGGGAATTCTGCAGCAACTAACTCACCTCCTGTCTCCCCTGAGCCTGTCCACCATCTACAAGGCACAAGTCAGGAGTGTGATGCAATACTCCCCACTTGCCTGAATGAGTGCAGATCCAGCAACACTCAAGAGGTTTAACACCATCCAGTACAAAGCAGCCTTCCTGATTGGTACCACATCCACAAGCATCCACTCCCCAAGCACCAATGCTCAGCAGCAGCAGTGTGTGCAAGATGCACTACAGCAACTAACAAACCTCCTTCAGTGTCTTCTAAATGCACAACCTCGAGCACCTAGAAGGTCAAGGACAGCAGACATGTGGAAACACTGCCAAGAGAACAGCTTGGTCCTTGGATTTCTGAAGGTTTATGCCTCAAGTAAATGACAAACACATATCCACTGACAGGTAAATGACGGACTTCTCTACAGCAGGACAGACACCCCTTCTTGCCAAGACGTGACAGTTATGATGTGAATATTTCCACTCTTCAGGCGAGCGCCTGCTGGCTGATATTTAAACCTTTTCAACATGATCTGTAGTGCAGCATATTATTATCGTTACTTCCTGCCTCAGTGGCTAAAAACTCAAGTCCTGGATGAAGTTGCTGATGGAAAGGACATTGTTTACACACGATGATTAATTTTCACTGAGTGCTTTTTGGGCTGTGTAATCCAGATGGTTCAGTTCCAGCTGCTGGTTACTGTCTCCTTATGAATGTTAAATTGCCACCAGTGTCTGTAATTATTATTAAAATAGAGGAACTAGATTAGACATAGATGACACAGAAAACTCTTTCATCATTACTGGGAACACTACCAGCCCTTCAGAGTGTGCATAACTCACCAGGTTTAATGTCACATCTGAATGAGACACCCCCAGACATGGCAGCACTCTCTTAGTATTAAGGTAGAGTATCAGCTTGGATTAAGTGCTCAGATCTCTGCAAGCAGGTACTGTGAGCTTTCTTTGTAAAAACTAATGCCACACAGTTTATTATTGCCCCTTCCTTCTGCTGCTTCAAAGGTGCAAAGTGTAAATTACTTCCCTTACCTGAAGCGTCTTTTCACTAAGTCCACGGAGTAAAAGAGTGATAACATGAACTGCAGCTCGACGCACCTCTGGTTCCCGTTCTGTCTTCACAATGCCTGTAAGACATTCAGTCACCTGGAAGGAAATCACAGCAATAATGAAGTGACTTTATGCAGGCAGCACGGAATTATTATCAGATCTACAGGAGGAGCTCATATAGTTTCCAGTATTGAGCATAATGTCGAAGCCGAGTTGATAATGACTTTGAAAATTCAGCTTCTCGAAGCAGCTCCCTGGAACGTACTACATCAGCAATCTTGGTCAGTGTTCACAGCAGCAAAGACTACACACTTTTGATCATATTTTAGATTATTATTATACCTTCCAAGTTGGTTTTGGTGTATTAATTTGGAAGGATATCAAGGCCATTCAGAAGCTCAGAAGAGATTCCAGATGATACCAGGATAGATACAACAATAAAAAGGATAAGCATGGATTTGTTTATGACACAGAACGGGAGCACAGGTGGGGTTGTATGTGGAGCACTGAGAGAATCCTTGGATGAAGATGAATACACATTGGAAGCGACATTGTGGAAGGACCAAGGGCAGGCAGAAGGGATTAGTTTAATTTGGCATCACGTTTGGCACAACATCATGGGCTGAAGGAGCTGTTCCAGTGCTGTAGAGTTCTATGTTCTAAGGTAGCATCATTGGAACAGATGTGGTGGAGATGGAGGAACTGGCCAAACGGACTGGAGTCCTTATGGGAAGGAGGATGTGAAAATATTTAGTTGATAAGGCCCTTAACGACCCATTTCCTTGACTTCTGCCCTTAGCCTCGCCTTCCCTCCCTAAACCACAATAGGATTCCCCTTGTCCTCACTTCCCATCCCCAGCATGATACAATCATCAAAGCTCGCTTGGAAGACCTTCCAACAGTCTATGGCTGTCAGCAATTCAATTTTATCAACAAGAACCCTGGTTCATCAAATTCGGTGGCCAATGAAATATTTTTCTTTTGTCCTTTCTAAATATAGTACCATCTATTGAGTTGTGTTGTCTCTCTGTTTATATTAAAAGGAGATGTGGTTCTAATTTTGGATTATACCCTAGTTGTTAACCGGTTTTGCCATTTGTTTATAGAAATAAATCTTGTTTTGTAATAAATGTATTTTTTTGAGTCAATTAAAGAAACCTGGGGAAAGTCCCTTGTATTCTGGATAGCAGCACCATAAGAGAGAAAAATGGCCATTTTGGTGATTGAATCACAACATTTACAGTGGTGTGGTACTGCAGAACTTTTGCTAGGTATTGCTGAAAAAGATATATTTTGTCAGAGTTTTTTTCTTGCACTCATCAGAGCAATTTACAAGAATACCAATTCAAGTGGAAAACCAACATTAGAAATGATTGCACAATTCTCAGGGTAGTGCTCTCACCAAGCAGAGTCAGCTTACCTGGTTTAAAACTGACAGTTTTGATAATTGATGCATTCATCGCAAAAACACCTTTAACAATTAGAATCCGCTCTCAATCACAGTCTATTTGTCAACCAATTAGCACACAACTCTCATACAGTATAAATGTTTTCCACTTGAACTGGTATTCTTGTGAATTATCCTGGTGAATACAAGAAAAAAAACTTTTGATTAGATGTGCCAAGGGTACTTAAGGGGTTGATGGTGGATAGACAATGGCAGACATTTAAAGAACACATGAATGAACTTCAACAATTGTACATCCCAGTCTGGCATAAGAGTAAAACTGGGAAGATGGCTCAACCATGGCTAACAAGGGAACACAGGAATAGTGTTCAAGCCGAAGAGGAGGCATGTAAATTGCCCAGAAAAAGCAGCAAACTTGAGGACTGGGAGAAATTTAAAATTCAGCAGAGGAGGTCAAAGGGTTTAATTCAGAAAGGGAAAATAGAATATGAAAATAAGCTTGTGGAAGACATAAAAACTGAGTGCAAAAGCTTCTATAGTAATGTGAAGAGAAAAAGACTGGTGAAGACAAATGTAGCTTCCTTGAAGTTAGAATCAGGTGAATTCATAATGGACAACAAAGCAGTGGAAGACCAGTTGAACAAATACTTTGGGTCTGTCTTCACAAAGAAGAACACAAATAATCTTCAGGAAATGCTAGGGGACAAAGGTGAAGGAGATCCTTATTAGTCAGGAAATGGTACTGGGGAAACTGATGGGATTAAAACCCGATAAGTCCCCAAAGCCTGATGCTCTGCATCCTAGAGTGTGCCCCTAGTAACTGACCCCTCTGCTAGGAGAAACACTGTATCAACGCCCTTATTATTTTGTATTTCCTAAATAAGATGATCCTTAGCCTTCTCTGTTCCAAGGAAAATAACCCTTAGCCTATTCAATCTTTTCTCACAGCTGTCCTTGAAATATTTTTGCAAATCTCCTCTGCACTGTCTCTAAAGCAATCATGTCCTTTCTGTTATGGGCCAACCAGGACCGTACAAAAAACTCCAGCTGTGACCTAACCAATGTCTTATATAGTACTAGCATTACATCCTGGTCCTGTAATCAATAACTTGTCTAATGGCTGAAAACATCCCTCATGCCTTCTTTAACCCATTGTATCCTTTTCTTTTAAAATTCAGATGTGGGTGTCACTCACTAGGTCACATACTTCTCATCCCTTGTTGCTGAGAAGGCAGTGGTATTCCTATTTCTTATGGTCTTACTGAGTCAAGAATCGATGCTGAGGTCTCCCAGGGCCATTCCCCTCCAAATATATCCACTGTGTTGCCAACTCTATTAGATCTGTCTTGCTGGTGAGACTTCACATATTCAGGGATGGTAATGGTGTTGTCCAGCAGGTTGTGAATAAGGTATGATTCTGTGAGTATGACTATCCCAGGCGCTACTTGATTAGTCTCTGAGACAGCCTTCCCAATTTTGCCACTAGCTCCACATGTCAGCATTAGCTAGTAATTAGTTAGTACCTATCCTGTCACCTTCAGGGACCTGAGCACACACTTCAAAATCTCTCACTTCCTCTACTCTCAATGCCCTCTCATTTACAGTGCATTCCTTTGCTTTGTTTGCTCTCCTCAAATGCATAACTTTGCACTTGGCTCTGTACTGAATTCCATTTGCCTGTTTTCCACCCACTCAGCTAAACCACTGATTCCTTCCGGCAGTAGACAGCCATCCTCTTCGCTAATAACTACACAGCCAACGTTTTTGTCATCTGCAAATTTCCTAATCGTGCCTCCCACATTTAAGCCTGGGCCACTGATACAACTGAAACAGTAAGTGACGCAACACCGGAAACCATTTCCTAATTGCAAAATTACCAATTCTTACCCTTGGCCCGGTCCATAATTATTTGGCTGTTTCCTCCTGCCCTTTTTCGCTAATGTACAACATTTGCAGATTTCAATCGTCTGGTACCGTGCCTGTATCTAGAGTGAGGCCTGGAAAATGATCCTCAGAGCATCCACTATTTCATCCTCCTTTAACAGATTAGGATGGAATTTATTTTGCTCTGATGAGTTATCCAACTTCAAGGAGGTCTGTTCCTTCTCATTCTGCTTATTTTATCTAATATTTCACATTCCTCCTCGTTACCAAGAATGTTACCCACCTTTGTGAAGACAGAGACAAATGCTCAGTTAGAACCCTGTAACATTGGAAACATAGAAAATAAGAGGAGTAGGCTATTTGGCTCTGCAAGTCTTTTCTGCCATTCAACAGGATCGCGGCTGATTATCCAACTCAATATCCTGTTCCCACCTTGTCCTGATACCCTCTGATCCCTTTAGCTCCAAGAACTATCGATTTCCTTCTTGAAAATATTCAATGTTTTATCCTCAACCGCCTTCTGTAATGGAGAATTCCACAGGCTCACCAGCAGCGACCCTCTTAATTTTCTTGTAGGCTGTGTGGACCTCCAAGGTCCATGTGCTGCAGCGACTCCTGGAACTGGAAGTCAATGAACATAGAACAGTATAGCACAGTACAGGCCCTTTGGCCCACGATGTTGTGCTAAACTTTTACCCTAAACCTAAGGTCTATCTAACCTCCACCCCTACCTTATACTATCATCCGTATGCCTATCTAATAGCCGCTTAAATGCCCCTAATGAGGCCGACTCCACTAACCTCTCCGGCAATACATTCCACGCCCCTACCACTCTCTGAGTAAAGAACCTACCTCTGACGTCTCCCCTATATCTACCTCCACTCACTTTAAAACTGTACCCGCTCGTAATAGCTACCTCCACCCTAGGAAAAAGTCTCTGGCTGTCCACTCTATCTATACTTCTGATCATTTTGTACACCTCTATCAAGTCACCTCTCATCCTTCGTCGTTCTAAAGAGAAAAGCCCTAGCTCTCTCAACCTTTCCTCGTAAGACCTTCCCTCCATTCCAGACAACATCCTGATAAATCTCCTCTGCACCTTTTCCAACACTTCCACATCTTTCCTGCAACGAGGCGACCAGAACTGGACACAATACTCCAGATGTGGCCGAACCAGGCTTTTGTAAAACTGCAGCATAACTTGATGGCTCTTGAACTCAATCCCTGTATTAATGAAAGCTAACACACCATACGCCTTCTTAACAACTCTATCCACCTAGGTGGCAGCTTTCAGGGCACTGTGGACATGAACCCCAAGATCCCTCTGCTCCTCCACACTGACAAGAATCTTTCTGTTAATCCTGTATTCTGCTTTCAAGTTTGTCCTTCCAAAAACCAATGCTGTAATTGGCGTACTGATGCCGACTGTCACGTGTGGAACATTGAAGTGGTTGTGCATAACTTAGATAGAACGCAGTTCTCTACTCTCCTGGTGAAAAAATTTCTCATCTCAGTCCTAAATGGTTTACCTCGTATCCTTACACAGTGACCCAGTTGTGGACCTCTCCTGTCATTGTTCCCCATCTAGTCCTGTTATAGGTTTCAATTGGAATCCCTCTCATTCATCCAGATTCTGATCCAGTCTACTCTCATAATTCAGTCCTTCATCCAGGAATCAGTCTGGTAAACCTTCTTTGCACTCCCTTAGTAGCCAGAACATCCCTCCTCAACTGCACTCACTACACCAATGCCCTGTACAGCTGCAGCAAGACATTCTTGTTCCTGTACTTCAATCCTCTCGCTATGAAGACCAATATAGCATTTGCCGCCTTGAACACGTACCGTACCTGCATGCTTACTTCTATGAATTTGTGTATGAGAACACTCAAGTCTCATTCCATCTCCACCTTTCCCAATCTATTGCTATTCAAATAATAATTTGCTCTCCTGCTTTTGCTATCAAAGTATATAATCTCACATATATCCATATTATACTTTTTCCCACTCATTCAGCTTGTCCAAATTGGATTGAGGCATCCCTGCATTCTCACAATTTCCCCTTCCACCCAGCTCTGTGCCATCTGCAATTATTACATTTTATACAGATATTACATTTAGTTCCCTCTTCTAATATTAATATATATTGCAAATAGCTGGGGAACAGGCACTGATTCCTGCTGTACCCCATTTGTCCCTGCCTGCCACGCAGACAATGATCTGTTTATTCTTACACTGTTTTCTGTATGCCATTGTCTGGTGATAGTGACATAATCTGCTTTATGGAAAATTTGAGTAATAAATATTGGTCAATTCGCCAGGAAGAATTCATGGCTACTTTTCAAGGATAGTGGTGATTTCTTTACTTCCAACTGAATGAACAGATAGCATTCCCACAGCACTGCACCAGTATCAGCCTGAATGTTCTGCCCTCGTGTCTGAGTGCTTGATGGTGGGGATCAGAAATGAGTGTGCTGTGTGACACAACGGCCCTTAATTGGTTCTTTAATTATTTATTGCATTACTCAGTGTAATGAGACTTTGCCACTTGCGCACTCTTTCTGTCTCATCTTCAGCCACAATGCAGGTCCCAAGAGAAGGAGAAGAGACAAGTTGAAGGGACAAGCAGTGATTTTCTGGCAGTGTTTGGATTTAACAGCCTCGAGATGGATCATCCCAGAATCTGGGTCAATCAACAATGCAGGGAGCACTAACAGAAATGAAGATGGCTGCCCATGTGGCTATGTCAATCGTATGGAAGCAACAGTCATATCAAATATAACATGCTGTTTTGCTAAGGCACAAATACAAGAAAAAGGTTTTAAGGTACAAAATGCGTCATTTACTTTCACACGCACATCATGTGATTACCTCATGAATCACTGATCCCAGAGCGAATTGCAGACACTGACAGAGCTCGCCCAGGTTCGATAAGCTACTAGCCCGCACTGTACTGTCGGAATCTTTCGTCCCCATCAAAAACACCCGTATCAAAGGGTCACGATAATGTGAAGCTATCTCACCTAGAGAGAGAAAGATAGAACATAGAACGATACAGCACAGGAAAGGGCCCTTTGGCCCATGAAGTTGTGCCGAACATGATGCCAAATTAAACTAATCCCTACTGTCTGCCCTTGGTCCACACCCTCCATTTCTTGCATATTCATGTGCTTTTCTAAAAGTCCCTTAAATACCCTGACCATATCTAACTCCAACATAACCCCTGGCAGTGCATTCCAGACTCCTACCACTCTCTGTGTAAAAAACCTGACCCTCATGTCTCCTTTGAACTTTCCCCCTCTAATCTGAAATGCATGCCCCCTAGCATTGGACATTTCAACTCAGGGATAAAGATTCTGACCCTCAACCTTATGTTAGCATCCCACCCAGACCCATTCTCACACACTTGCCCTGTAACTCTACATTTCCTATGGCTAATCATCTAACTTACACACCCCTGGACACTATAGACAATTCAGCATTGCCAATCAATGTAACTTGCACATCTTTGGACTGTGGGAGGAAACCAGAGTACCCGGAGGAAACCCATGCAGACACAGGAAGAATGTGCAAACTCCACACAGACAGTCACCAGAGGGTGGAATTGAACCCAGATCCCTGGCGCTGCAAGACAGCAATGCTAACAACTGAGCCACTGTACCACCCTTTATAATACCGCTGTGGCCAATAACATTAGAATATCATGAAGAAAGAAAATCATCTCTTTGAGCCTTATATTTCTAGTTTTTCACTGTTTACATATTGGCAATGACAAGCATTGGAATCAGAGGCAAACATATAATTACCTTGGATTTGGTGGTAGTAGCAGCTCTGACTCAGTCCTGCTGGCAATATCCGAGCTTAGGAAAGCTACACATTACACCTGTTCTGTGTTACCACAAGTTGATATTACCCTGATTACCAATCCTTACTCACCCAATGCTTTTGTACTTCGCATTAGTACCTCTCCCATCTTCATCCGGGTCTCAACACATCTTGTTTTTTCAGCTCCTTCTGGTGACATCCGATATTCGTCCAGTAACTGTGGCAGGATTTGGGCTGGATACACATCTGCCAGAACTGACAAACCTGTGACATAATTTAAGTACTTTAATTCTTCAGCTAATGCATGTCTGGCTTATACAATAAACTTGAATCTGGAAGAAAAAGTCAAGTCCAGTTGTGTGACTGAACAGTGAGTCAGAGAGGTTCTCCCTCAAATGCTGCTTTGACAGTAGAGATAACAGGCTGGCTTTAAGGTTGTGGTGTAGGGACAGCTTTACTCTGTATCTAAAACTGTGCTGTCCCTGTCCTGGGAGTATTTGATGGGACAGTGTAGAAGGAGCTTTACTCTGTATCTAACCCTGTGCTGTTCCTAATCTGGGAGTGTATAAGGGACAGTGTAGAGGAAGCTTCACCCCATATCTAACCCCATGCCATTTTTGTCCTGGGAGTGTTTGATGAGGACAGTGTAGAGGGAGCTGTAACTGAGGGGATGCTAGCACTCAACTGCTGAAATGGAAGATGTTTAATTCTCCGCCTCGTTCAGCACAAGGTTCAGAAAAATAAATGGAAAAAAAGTACTTAGACAACTGATACATTACACAACATAAGTGACTACAATGCTTAAAACAGCGACATCAATATGAAAGCTGTTCCTTAATGGAGGTGTTTAATTAATTACAATAAACATTAAGTATTTTTTAAATTCATTAATGGGATGAGTGCATCGCTGGCTAGGCAGCATTTATTGCCCATCCCTAAATGCCCAGAGGGCAGTTCAGAGTCAACCACACTGCTGTGGGTCTGGAGTCACATGTAGGCCAGACCAGGTAAGGATGGCAGTTTCCTTCCTTAAAGGACATTAGTGAACCAGATGGGTGTTTCCAACAATCAACAATGGATTCACGGCCATCATTAGATTTTTACTTCTAGGTTTTTTTATTAAATTCAAATTCCACCATCTGCCATGGTGGGATTTGAACCCGGGTCCCCAGCACATTATCTGGGTCTCTGGATTAACAGTCCAGCAATAATACCATTAGGCCATTGCCTCCCTATGAAGTATACAGAACAACAGACTTAAACAGAATAAAAACCGAAAGAACTGCGGATGCTGCAAATTAGCAACAAAAACAGAACAGCATGGTCACCTGACCCGCAGCGTAAACTCTGTTTTCTCCTCCACCAATGCTGCCAGACCTGCTGAGCTTTTCCAGCAACTTTGTTTTTGAAACTTAAACAGAAGCTGTTGAGACTTGAAACTTGGCTTTAGGTAATTAGTAACCAGAACACTCGTAATTGCAGGGAAATTTCACCACTCCAGGAAGTAAAGTTGTTATATTATTCTACACTTCAGTTTCAATCTTTCAAGTTGAGAAAGTCACTCAGAGTTTTACTTGAGGCATTTAGAAATGCTGAAAGGATTTGATGTTGTGAAACTTGAAAGGGTTCAGAAAAGATGTACAAGAACGTTACCAGGGTTGGAAGGTTTGAGCTGTAGGGCGAGGCTGAGCAGGCTGGAGCTATTCTCCCTGGAGTGTCGGAGGCTGAGAGGTGACCTTACAGAAGCTTATAAAATCATGAAGGGCATGGATAGGGTGAATAGCCAAGGTCTTTTCTCCAGGGTGAGGGAGTCTACAAGTAGAGGGCACAGATTTAAGGTCAGGGGGAAAGATTTAAAAGGGGCCCAAGAGGCAGCGTTTTCACGCAGAAGGTAGTGTGTGTATGGAATGAGCTGCCAAAGGAAGTGGTGGAGGCTGGTACAATTACAACACTTAAAAGGCATCTGGATGGGTATGTGAACAGGAAGGATTTAGAGGTATTTGGCCCAAATGTTTGCAAACGGGACTAGATTAATTTGGAATAGCTGGTTAGCATGGAAGAGTTGTACCTAGGTGTCTGTTTCCATGCTGTACATTTCTATGAATCTCTATATCCCGCACTCAACCACTACCACCAAGCCAAAGGATCAATCCTGGCTCAATAGAGAGTGCAGGAGGGCATGCTAGGAGCAGGACCAGGCTTACCTGAAGATGAGGTGTAAACCTGGTGAAGTCGCCCAACTGGACTGCTTGCATGCTAAACAGCATAAGCAGCAAAAGCAGCAAGTGACAGACAGAGCTAAGTGATCCCACAACCAACGGATCAGATCTAAGCTCTGCAGTGCTGCCACATCCAGTCGTGAATGGTGGTTGGCAATTAAACAACTCACTGGAGGACAAGGCTCCACAAATATCCCCATCCTTAATGGCAGAAGAACCCAATACATCAGTGCAAAAGATAAGGCTGAAGCATTCACAGCAATCTTCAGCCAGAAGTGCTGAGTGGATGATCCATCTTGACCTCCTCTAGTGATCTCCAGCATCACAGATACCAGTCTTTAGCAAATTTGATTCACTCCACATGGTATGAAGAAACAGTTGGAGGTACTGTAAAGGTTATGATGATATTCCAGCAACAGTACTGAAGACTCATACTCCAGAAATTGTTGATACCCTAGCCAAGCTCTTTCAGTACAGTTAGAACTCTGGCATTACCTGTTAATGTAGAAAATTGTCCAGAGTTGTCCTATACATAAAAAGTAGGACAAATCCAACTTGGCTAATTGGTGCCCCAAGTAGCAACAAGCAACACCTACTCAACAATAACCTGCTCACTAGCATCTGAGTTCTGCCAGGGCCATTCAGCTTCTGACCTCATTACAACTTTGGTTCAAACATGGACAAAAGAGCTGAATTCCAGAGGTAAGGTGAGAGTGACAGCCCTTGACATCAAGGCTGCATTTGAACAAATGTGGCGTCAAAGAGCTCTGGAAAAAGTGCAATCAGTGAGTATCAGGCAGAAAATGCTCCACTGGTTGGAGTCATAATAAAAACCAAAAGAACTGCAGATGCTGTAAATCAGGAACAAAAACAAAGTTGCTGGAAAGGCTCAGCAGGTCTGGCAGCATCTGTGGAGGAGAAAACAGAGTTAACGTTTTGGGTCCGGTGAGTTCTTAGGAAGGGTCACCGGACCCAAAACGGTTCGTTAACTCTGTTTTCTCCTCCACAGATGCTGCCAGACTGGTTGGAGTCATACCTGGCACATAAGATGATGGTTGTGGTTGTTGGAGGTCAGTCATCTTAACTCCAGGACATCACTGCAGGAGCTCCTCAGGGTAGTGTCCTAGGCCCAATCATCTTCAGCTGCTTCATTAATGACCTTCCCTCTATCATAAGGTCAGAAGTGGGGATGTTTGCCGATGATTGCATAATGTTCAACACCATTCGTGACTCCTCAGATACTGAAGCAGTCCATGTTCAAATGCAACAACATCTGGACAATATCCAGGCTTACGCTGACAAGCGGCAAGTAACATTCGTGCCACACAAATGCCAGGCTATGACCATCACCAATATGAGATAATCTAATCACTGCCTCGAGACATTCAATGGTGTTACCATCACTGAATCCACCACTATCAACATCCTGGGGGCTACCATTGACCAGAAACTGAACTGGGCTCACAACATAAACACTGTGGCCACAAAAGTGGGTCAGAAGCTACGAATACTGCAGCAAGTGACTCCTCTTCTGACTCCTCAAAGCCTGCCCATCAACTACAAGGCACAAGCCAGGAGTGTGATGAAATGCTCCCCACTTGCCTTATACCACACACACAAACAACTGCTCCACCAGTGATGCTCAGTCACAGGGGGACATACTATCTACAAGATACACTGCAAAAATTCACCCGAGATCCTTAAACAGCCCCTTTCACACCCAAGCCCACTTCCATTTAGAAGGACAAGGGCAGCAGGTACTTCGGAACACCACCCTCTGCAACTTTTCCTCCAAGCTACTCATCATCCTGACTTGGAAATATATTGCCGTTCCTTCACTGTCACTGGTCAAAATCCTGGAATTCACTCCCTAAGGGCATTGTGGGTCAATCCACAGCTGGTGGACTGTGGCAGTTCAAGATGGCAGCTCACCACCACTTTCTCAAGGGCAACTGGGGATGTGCAATAAATGCTGGCCAGCCAGCGATGTCTACATTCCACAAGTAAATTTAAAGAATGGTTGGAAAGCTAAGTGAAGGAAAGGGGAGTCAAGGAACATGGAAACTAATGTAAACAGGATCGGAACTACTGGTTATGTGGAACATAACAAATTGGCCAAACGATCAGTTTCCCGGTTATAATTACTCTGCATGCTGGTGAGTGACTGACTCTCAAATGCTGGTGCTCTAATCAATAAAGGACACAGGGCTCTGCCTTTTGAGGTGCTCCATCAAGTGATTCATTCATGACTCGTGTGTGTGTGTGTGTGTGTCACAGTTGCTCAGTGGTTAGCACTGCTGCCTCACAGGGCCAAAATTCTGGCCTTGTGTGTGGAGTATGCACATTCTCCCCACATCTGCATGGATTTCTGATGGGTGCTTTGGTTTCCTCTCACAGTTCAAACAGATGTAGGTTAGGAAGATTGGTCAGATTGAAAGTGCCCCTTAGTGACCAGGGATGTGCAGACAAGATGGATTAGCCATGGGGAATGTGACATTACAGGGTAGTATGGGGGCTGGAACAAAAACAGAAGTTGCTGAAAAAGCTCAGCAGGTCTGGCAGCATCCGTGAAGAAAAAAAAGTTAAATTTTCAGGTCCGGTGATGTTTCCTCAGAACTGATGGTAGCTAGGAAAATGTTGGTTTATGCAGAAAGGAGTGGTGGGGGTAGGGAGTAAATGATAGGTAGAATTGAGCTCAAAGAGACAGAAGAGCAGTTGGATAGACCAAAGCGTTAATAACGATCTGGCTAGGAGGGTGAGTAGCTGTTAATGGGGACTGTCAGTGACTAACGATAGGCAGTGTGTACAGCAGGCTATGTGATAACAAGGTCTGGTGTGTGCTGTAGGGGGCTATGACAGGGGAGAGTTTAGACCCTAAAATTATTGAACTTGATATTGAGTCCGGAGGGCTGTAGGGCCCCCAGGCTGAAAATGAAGTGTTGTTCTTCCAGCTTGCGCTGAGGTTCACTGGAACACTGCAGCAAGCCAGAGACAGAGATGTGTTTAAGAGGCAGGCAACTGGAAGCTCAGTGTCTTTTTTGTGAG